TCAGAGATTTAGCCTAAAACCCTAACAGTCAGAGATTTAGCATCAACGCCTAACACCGGAGATTTAGCCTAAACCCCTAACACTCAGAGATTTAGCATAAACGCCTAACACCGGAGATTTAGCCTAAACCCTAACAGTCAGAGATTTAGCATCAACGCCTAACACCGGAGATTTAGCCTAAACCCCTAACGGTCAGAGATTTAGCCTAAACCCTAACATTTAGCTTAAAACCCTAACAGTCAGAGATTTAGCCTACACGCCTAACACTCAGAGATTTAGTCTTAACCCTAACACTCAGAGATTTAGCCTAAACCCCTAACACTCAGAGATTTAGCCTAAAACCCTAACACTCAGAGATTTAGCCTAAACCCGAACACTCAGAGATTTAGCCTAAACCACTAACACTCAGAGATTTAGCCTGAACCCATAACACTCAGAGATTCAGCCTAAACCCTAACAGTCAGAGATGCACGTGGACGATAATCGCAGCGTACCCGTGGGTGCGTCTGTGCGTACAGAGGTCTGTACAGACGGTCTATGGGGTGAGCTGTCCTTAGTCCTTGCCCCATTGGCCGAACTCGGGTGTAATTTGAACCAAATGGGGGTGTAGAGCTTCCACTCAGAAAGCACCTACGTGAGGACTAAAAAGTGCAGGGCCGGCCCCAAACCCGAGTTTGTGGGTACCGGCATATTGAGGTCTGAAAAACGAGAGCGATAGTCTTGTAGGGTTTTAGGGTTTCTAAAAAAACCCTACCGAGTGCATCAGCAACCACTTTTACTTCTGTCCGGATTGTTCAATTCATAAACTGGGCTCATCGAGTATTTATTCAACCGTGTCGACAGTTTATTATATTTAGATTTGGGTGTAAAAGCATAAGGAGATAGTGGATAGTAGTCGATGTTCTGTCAATTTTGATGAACATCGCAACCCACAATCGCTCGTAGGATCGTTAAAAACAGGGTTATACATCGTTGGGATCGTAGGATCGTTACATATATACATATATATATATCTATATATTTATATATTTATGTTATGTATATGTAT